ATTTTGCTAAACTGAAACTGTATAAAGAATGTAGAATTTAGTGAAGAAACACAGAATATTTATATTATTATTTTCTCACTGGTCTCTCTTTATATAGCCAGAGACAGACTTGTCTATGACTAGACTTGTAGTCCTACTCTGGCTACCTGAGATCACTCCTCTATGTGAAAATATCAGATGAACAATACTCATGAGTATTTTACCGAAAGTGGTATGAGTACTCAACAATACCCAAGCATGAGTACTCAAAGTCGTACTCCGAGTGCTTGTTACTCACTCATGGGTACTCATGTGAGTACTCAGTAAGTAAAAAAATGTATGAGTACGTATCAGTACTCGTCCGGTTTTTCTAGCAGAGTACTTTTTGAGTACTCACACTTGAGTACATTCACTAGGGTTGTCCACTACGTAGTTCACAACTTTCATTCGTTATCACGCAAGTAAAATGTCACAAAAAACTTTTTGTGAGCAATTTGTAAATGATCCCGAGTGAAACACTTTTCTCACGTGTGTTCACACAATTGCACGATATTCACATACGCTCACATGTGGCTTCAGAATATTCCCGGTTGTTTTATTGTGTTATCAATAAAAACGAGAAAAGAACACGTGCAAGTTGTTATATCATCTAAATGAGTTATGATAGTTATGTGCTAATTCATCGGTCGATTACCAGTCAACAAGCACCAATGCATTCGTTAAGGCGCCCCCCTCTGGAATTCGATGTTTTCTTCAAAACTGAAGTAACCATACGGTTCAATATCCCAAAGTGTCATCTTTCAGAATCCATCTCAGTTTGCCAAAAATTCAATGTTTTTGGAGTTTTTGAAAAAGATGTCTGAAAGCCTTAAAAATCACCTTTTCCTAAATTTCACATTTTAATTAAAATTAAGTTTGTCCGTTTTAACAGACATGGTACTATGTTGAGCGGAGCGATCTGATCAGAATGAGATGTCCAGCAGGTTTGCACGCCTTCGTCTTGCAGAGTTATACTAGTTTTGCTAAAGGCGCTGAACTGCAATTAATGAAGTGATGACGCCATTGCTTAGAATATGGTTTTGGCGCAGCAAAGTTGTATTAACTTCTAGAAGATTCGTCGTAAAACCTTCTTTCTTTTTTATTTTAAAGCTACGACATTTCTGTAAAATTTGATCCGCAGTGATTTTTGTTTAGAGATAAGTGGCAAATACTCCGCCGAATTAGGGTTATTTTCCGAGGTCTGACTTAAAATACGTGTAGGCAATGAACCGAAGCGAAATTCAAAAATCGCTGTGGATCGAATTTTAGATTTAGGTGTCTACTTTCATTTGAGGCCTCTCGCAGCTTTCTACATCTTCCAACAAAAAAACCTTAGCGCTTTTGCTAAGAGCCCTATTTTCCCCCTGGTCACGCAATAACTCGGTAGCGCGTCAACGTTTCGATCTCGAATTCTTTGCATAAGCTAGTAGGACAGTAAGCATTAGTCACTGAAAGCACCATTGAAATCGGATGTAAGATGAAAAAGTTTTTTCCTGAGGGGGGGCCTTAAAGCAGATAATCATAACATATTTTCAAATTATTCTCGAAAGAATGATAACATTTTTTCTGTCGAACTTATTTTTAATGCATTACTATGTATAAGACTTCTCCCAACTATCAACGTGATTTCACTATATCTTCTATCAAGGATGATGATTTCAAAAAGAACGTTAAATCAATATCTTTTTGTCAATATGCCATACGATAATGACACGTGCAATGGTTATCGCTAAGGTGCCAACAATGCAAACTTACAACAATAATTTTTTTTCAACTTATTTCACATCGAGCTCATCGAGCTGATTAAGAAAATGTATCTTTTAATTTTTGAAAAAAATGTTCATGTTGAAGAATCGAAAATACTTTAAGGATGTAAAAACTCGAAAAATCCTTCAAGTTCGAATCTTTAATATCTCTGGATCACAAATTGAGTCGATTTGTGTGTATTTCTATCTTATCCAAGCACTTTAATTTTTTCCGATTTTCATCAAATTACCGAGATTTCATCGAAAACTGAAAATCAACTAAAAATTTCGAAACACATATTAGTCGACTCAGTTTTTGATCCTGACTCCAAATATATTATTTTTATTGTATAAAAGTTGAGTTCTGTTGGAGAAAAATTGATAATTACTGGAAGAATTCCGACTTTTTCGCCTCTGATTTAGAAAAATGAGTTTTTCCAGCAACAAAATAAAATTTTAAAAAAAAGTGCGACATATTTTTAAAGCCCGGCTTACAACGAATCTACTAAGGTACAAATGACGCTTCAGTCCCTAATACAAAATACTAGATAGGCTAACAAAATTCTTTTTTTTTTTCGAGTTTTTACACCCTTAAAGTATTTTCGATTTTTCAACATGAACATTTTTTTCAAAAATTAAAAGATACATTTTCTTAATAGCTCGATGAGCTTGTGTGAAATGAATTGAAAAAAAATTATTGCTGTAAGTTCGCATTATTAGCATCTTACAACAATATTTAAATAACGATTAATATAAATGGAATCTAATGATCGTATGTAGTTATAAACGAATATACTAAACGAAACATTGAGAACATACGTTTTGATGACTTTTGTAGTCAACAGTGGCACATTTCATTGCTAAAATATCCTATACTAACAATAACATCATTTTTTTTGTAAAAGCAAGACCGAGTAACTTTAAAGTGTTAAATCTTCTAGGAAACTATCTCCTATTGAAAATGTTCAACATAATTCTTTACGATCTCAGGATATAACTCTCTTTTTTGAAAATAAGAAGAGTTAATTACAGCAAAATTTGAGTTATCTGAAAAATTTGAATTTATCTTTTAAAACAGAAAAAATTAGGAAATAGCGCCGTCTATTCTACACAATGATATTTGTCCTTTCTGATTAGCTGAGAAATAAACCAATAAAATAACAATAAGTCACCGATAGATAAAAAGAAAATTTACGACTTGATACAGTTATTGCATTACATTAGGATTGTCATTTACATTGAATAAAAGCAGAAGTAGACCCGTTGGAATATAAACAATCCAGAATAATTTTTGTTTTTGATGTTTTTAGAAATTTTTCAGTCTTTTTAGCCAGAGTTATTTTAATAATTGTAACTGTATCTATTCGAAATGATGATGCTTTCTTTCGGGAGGATATCTAAGAGAGAAAGCGTTTTAAAAATAAATTAAAATGGCCATAAGAATGTTTTTATGCATATGTGTCGGACCTTTTGTCCGAATTATTAAGTAAAACATGCGTTAACGGTTCTTAAAACAATAGTCATGTATTTTGTTGATAGATAAGGATATGAATTAGATAATGAAGTTACTGTTTTCGAAGGTAAGAAACTCTCATCGTATTACGCATTAGATCCACAAATAATTGTTACGTGGGATGAAAATATTCCATGCCATTTTTCTCGTACATAACTTGTTGTTTTTTTCTAAGACATAGATACAGTGATTATTACTGTAAATTTATCACAAGCTCCTAAAGAGATGTTTGATAATAATTTTCAATGGAGAAAAATGTTAATAATAATAATTTACTTTTGTAACTCATGTATTTTAAATAGTTCGTTGTCGCATGAACATTTACTAGAAGAAACTGCTCAAAATCAAATATCGGTAATATTGCTCATTCATCTCATTCACTGCTGTTTGAATACACAAACATATAGCGAAATGTTTATAGATGAATAAAAACATGGTCTCCGGTTGTTTTCGTTCAAAGCGAAGGACTAATTTTAGCACACAGTCAGTAATCAAAAAAAAATTTTCGACGGACTAATGGCTGATGAGAAAATACAGAAAGGTAGCTCACAACTTAATAAATTTTTGAGGAAATTGTCAACGTTCTTCGTCCTAATCACAAACACTAATCAAGAAATATGATCATACAAAATGTTAAATGACAATATTATTTCGATGAACCAGGTATACAAGTTAGAGATTTAACACGATGGTGTGAAGTTCCTAAACTATGGTCAGCGTATTTTTTCTCCTGAACTTTATATAATTACAAACAATGATAGAGCTAAAAATATTTTCCTGCAAACGTTTATTTTTCTATTATAGATGTGTTGTTATTGTTAATAAATGGCCTCACGTGTTGATCCTATTCCCATTCCTCATCTGAAGGGGTACGTGTTTGGTGAAAAACTTGGTGCTGGTAGTTATGGAACCGTATACAAAGCAAAAGCAGCCTCAGTGCGTAAATTACATAAAAGATACTAAACTAATTTAACAAATATTTATTTAAATTACAGACGCCAATTCAGCGACCGTCATCCGCCACACCTCAACGACCTTCATCAGCCACGCCTTTCTCGCGTCCCTTACCATCGACATATGCTATTAAATGTATTGATCGTAAAGGATTGAATAATACAACACGGGATCTACTTGTCAATGAAATTCGATTATTAAAACAGATAAAGCATGAAAATATTGTAGAAATGTACGATTTTCAGGTATTATCAAAGTCCTTCAAGTGTTTTTTATCCATCTCTTTATTTCTGTTTGTTGTTTTAGTACGATGAAAACTATGTATGTTTACCATAACAGTTGAAATATACAGTTCACAAATTAATTACAAGAACTTTAGCGGTAATATTTCATTGTTTTAGATTTATATCGTGATGGAATATTGTGCTGGAGGAGACTTGTCCATGTTCATTCGTTCAAAAGACCAATTACCTGAAAGGCGAGCAAGACCATTTGTACAACAAATTGGTAAGATGGTAAGGAACAGAAAAACCTCAGTTCAAACACTGTTACTGTTAAAGTCAAGCACCATAGTATCACACTAACGATTCATTAAAAAACTCGATCGAAAATTTTCTAGAATTACATCAGCGACCATTATTATATATACATTTATTTATACAAATTATTAACACAATACTAAATTAATGAATTATCCTCTCTTTTTTCTAGCAAAAGCTATCAAATTTTTGTATGATAAACACATTGCTCATATGGATTTGAAACCTGAAAATGTGTTATTAACAACATCAGAGGTGAATCCAACTCTTAAAATTGGCGGTAAGTTATTATTCATATATATAAAGATATTTTATCTGTTATTATTTAGATTTTGGTGTGGCACAACATATTTCTAAGAATCGCTTGGGAACTACGATTCGTGGCACGCTTCTTTATATGGCACCCGAAATTCTCTCATCTACAACTTATGATGGTTTGTTTTAGTCTGTAATCAACTCATCTTTTATCTAAACTTCATCTAAATTTTTAGCGCGTGTAGATTTATGGAGCATTGGTGTCATTCTCTATGGTAATGATTCATCTAGGTGTTTTTTTTAAGGTGTTACATATTGATTCTATATTTTGTAGAGTGTTTATTTGGTAGACCTCCGTTTGTTTGTCTCACTGTTCAAGATCTTGTCGAAACGATTAAATCAAATGAGCCTATAGACGTATGTAAAATAGTAGAATTAAAAGAGATGTGGTTATAAAATATTTTTAAGATTACTTAGATTCCAGCTGATGCAAGAATAACAACAGATTGTCGTGATTTATTAACGAGATTATTACAACGTGATCCTACTAAACGAATTAGATTTGAAGCTTTTTTTAGACATCCATTTGTTGCTAATGATATTAGTTCTCAGCTTGCTAGAGCAGTATGTTTATTTGCAATTCTTCTTTGATTTTGAGAGAAAGTGAATTGTATTACATTTTCTAGGATGAACTACTCCAGACAGCAATAGCATTTGAACAGGCAGGCAATTTAAACAAAGCTCTTAAACATCGTATATGTGCACTCGATGAATATGCTTCATTTTTGAAAAGTAACTATATGCCAAACAAATGATCGCAATAGTGCTAGTCATTCTTATTCTTATAGTTGATCCAATTCCTGAACGTCGTAGAGCCATTCGACGAAAGGTAACAATTTAGTTTACTTCAATTGATTATTTCATATAGAATTTCTATTTTTCTTTTCAAAGGTGCAAGAAGGAATTATTGAAGCAGAAAATTTGAAACGTCGAATGCACCCAGCATTGGCCCTAGAAACATCAGCCGTACTAAAACCACAAACTGTATCACCAACCGTTCCAGTAAACGGAATAAATTTACGTGAGTAATTCGGAAACACATTTTGACGTGAATTGTTTAATCATGCATACTTTATAGTTGAATTATCAAATGATCCAAATGTTGATGCAGCCTACAAACGTTGTCAACAAGGAAATGTTTTTGTACGTTCAAAATTTACTCTTTCATTAGATATGTAGTATTTATGAACTTTCTTTTAAGGCAAACCAACGGAAATATCGACAAGCATGCGAAGAGTATGAAAGTGGAATATCTGGGATGTTAACTGCGATGCAATGTAAGTTGAAGCATAATCTTATGTTCTATTGTTATTTCGTTTTTTGATTTTTTAAGCGGAAACAAATTTAACAAAGAAGAAAATTTTACATGATATGGTATGTGCCAGAGACAATATCACAGCTTTTGATTTATTTCTTCAATTGTCATCTACTATTGTTTAGATATCAAGTTATTTGACAAAAGCCGAAAATTGTAAAAAATATGCTGAATCTGAAACTTTAGACTTACAGATAAATAAAATAAAAGAGGACAATGCGGATTTGACATTGGATGGAACAAATGATGATCTGGGTGAAAAACAACAGCAGCAACAAGGACATTGTCTTGTACAGTGATTTATATGTCTTTGTTTTTTTTTCATATCTATACATAACGTTACTTTTTTGTAAGATGAATGATACAAAAAAACAGTTTTTTTTATTTCTCAGTTGAATTTTAAATTTAAAATCAAAAATAGTGAACATACTCTCTTTTTTTTGGCTCAGAATAATACAAAATCTATCATATTAACCATTAGTAATGTTTATTAGGTTGACGAGGACTGTGTCGCAAATGGAGTCATACATTAGGGTAGAGTGTACAACTGAATGTGTCTTCGAGGCAGTATGAATCAAATAAAGACCGTCCGAGAGTAGAATCCCTAGAGGCACTGTGCAAAAATTACTGTTTTAATAATCTTTCGTTGAATAAAACGACAAAATTCTCAATTAATCGGAAGGTGCACATCCTCCCGATATTTGCGACCCTGGACGAAGAGAATATCTGTGGTATAAAGTTCGAGTCAGAAACTAATAGTGACTCTTTTTGTAATGCAAATGCATTTTTATGACACTTTTTCTTCGATGAGCTGGTTTGCTTGATTTTGTTTCGCTTGATTGCTCCAAATCAACCTTCGTCGAGATTGTAATGTTGACAAACACGTGATTTAGTTGTTTGACTATTTGACTAGTCTGTCTTTATTGAAGATTTAAAAGATTAAATTTAAGTTTCTATATTGTTGCACGGCACTCCTTTGTGTTTTGAGTATTTCATTTCGGCTAACACACTCTGTTTCTCTATTATTCAGTGGCATTACTAAAAAACACGAACATCTGCCAACCAGAGTTCCGTATGGACTGCACTCAAACTTTCAAGACCATAGACTCAAAAAAAAATTTTGGATTTATTTGCACCGAGGAAAAATCAGTACAAAATAGGTAAAAAATACTAAAAAACTACCCTTTTAGAGTCCATGGACTCGGACTGGAATGCAGTGGACTCAGAATTTTGAGTCCATACGGAGTTAGTCAAACGATAGGGTTCGTCGAACTACTACCGATAGGCTCAAAGCAGCTTGGTGTTCTTGCTTTTATTTTATGGTATAGGCGTTCGTGACTGCTCATAGAAAATGCATGCTTGAAAGCAAGTACATCTGACTATGGTCCCTCGTTAGTGGCAATTTTCATCACTCTTTTAAATTGATGCAGGAAAACAATTGAAAATCAGAAGAATCAAATCAGGATATCTGAGCACTCTGTTTCGAACGGTGATTTCGAAAGAATAAACTATTGAAAAACGGCTTTTTTATGGACTTTTTCAAGTTTTTGTCCTATGCGAACGAGAATTCATTTTCAAACCACTTTCGGTATTTTTTTGTTGTAAAAATTAATCCACAGCTTGTAATCTAAGTCTTGAATATCGATTATAGTACGTATCTCTTTGGACACAAATATTAGTTTCGTTGCTAGTTTAGATTATTTGTTTCTGGTACAGGTGAGAGCTGGACAAGTCAAGTTAAAATCACTTAACAATTTTATGACTCATGAGTTGACTTGATTTTTCAATTCAGGTCATGAATATTTTTAGCAATCCAGAATTTATGTAAGAACCAGTTTGTTTTTCAACTTTTATCGTGGTGTGGTGATATTACTGCGCTAGTTTATTTAGTCAGTCGCTTGTAACTTCACGTGGATTGGAAAGAGTTTTTATAATGCATGGCTTGATTTGATTTGTGACCTAGAAAATCCCTGATTTTCTTAATTCTGCTTCTGCTGCTCTAATCGAATCAATATTTAGTCAGCGGAAAAAATTAACACATTCTGAAATTTTAGAACAATTTGAAATGGCAGAAGCTGGACGAATGTTGTCAAATACAATAGATAAGAAACAGTTCAACTTTTACTTTAAACCAAGTTTGTTTGGAAATCTGATTCTATTTAAAGTAGATCAGAGACCATCGGTGAGTAGTGTTTTCATTTCCTTCAACACAGATATGTTTGGCGTTGTTGAAATTTGAATTGAGTGTTTTATGGAAAGTATTTTTATATGTATTCCATAAATAACTATCAATAAACAGAAAATTCTAGTCTCAGAATAGTCGTAATCGTAGAAAACTTTATTTGTACATTATTTAGAGAAGAACGATCCACCATGTCACATGCTCGGTTCTGTCAAGTTGAGATTGGTATTAATATAAGTACTGTTAGTATTGTTCAATACTGACATCATTCTTATACGTGTCATTTATCATTTGATCGGTGATTAACGATAGTTTGTTTGATATTGTTTTTTTGTCTTGAATTGTTGCTTTGGCCGCTAATAATCCGCATATAATTGCACTCTCGTTTTTTTTATTTGTCAATATTTGACTTAGTATACCGGCACATAACGAATCACCAGCACCCGTAACATTAACAATCTTGTTATTTAAGTTGGATTTTAATTGATATCGTTTAATCCAAAAATTCTCATTTGAATCGTCATTATCGTTTCGTACACTAATCATTACACCATCAGCACCAAGTGTAACACAAATAAATTTCATATTTTTATTTGATTTCATTAATGTGCGCATATGCAAAGCTAGTGAAATATTGTCTTTGCAATTATCATCATTATTAATGATTGCTTCTAATTCTAAACGATTACAAAATAGCATATTTAAATGTTGAATAAAATTTCGAATTTTCATTGCTTTTTTCGGACCACCGGCTGAAATAAATACAAGTGACTTTTGATATTCAATTGCTTTTCTAACTATACAATCCATAGTAGCCTCACTCAAATTAGCATCAAACATAATCGAATTATTGTTTCGAATGTAATCAATATTTTCTTCAATAAACTGTGGTGTAAGAGAATGTTCATAAATATCCATACTACCAAACCCACATAACAATTCATTTGATTTTTCATCTAACAATGATACATAGGTTGCTGTTAGTTGATTCTCTATCGCTTTTATGATTAATTGTTGTCGTGATGTTAATAAGGTTGATGACAGCAAATTGTCAGTTCCTGACACCGACAAGAATTGAACTGGGACATTAAATAATCCAAGTGCATTAGTTATATTATAAGCGACGCCACCGATATCATAGTTGATCTGAGATTTTAAAGTTGAACCACTGTCAATTTTAAATTTTTCACATAATTTTATGTGCATATCTATATTAATACCACCAATAACTAACAGTTGAGATTTTTCATTTTTATCAGTTTTTGATGTCATACAAGCTAAAACAAAGCAGGAAGATCAACAACTGCTAAAAAATACTACGATGTCTACTTACGATGTTGTTGATATTGTAATTTTGAAAGAGCAGCTGCTATTTGTGCTGCCACTTTTGCATTTTTATAAATCAATTTTTGGTTTGTTGGTATTGATTGTCCATCAGTTAAACGACGTACTTCTTGTAAAATATACGGTGTTACTTTATTTCCTCTAATATTCTGTTTTTTAGCTAAATCTAATGCTTCTTCAATTACATTGTTAATCATTTGCCCTTGTAATTCATGTTCTTCATCGATTGGTACCGCTAATAGAAGACCAGATTGTAAATTTAATTCCAACATATTGAATACAAGCTGTGCTGCATCTTCGATAGTTTTCACTGAGCCACACGAACGATATCCACTTGATTTTGTAAAAAAATTTGGAAATTCATCTGTCGTATCATACGTATAAACACCAACGCCTTTTGTTTCAAGATATTCTAGTGTACGAGGAATGTCTAAAATGGATTTTACACCACTTGATACAACACATACTGGTGTACGACCAAATTCATCAAGGTCAGCTGAAATGTCAAATGTATCTGTGACATCCCGGTGAACACCACCAATACCTCCTGTTGCAAATATGGGAATTCCAAGACGATGTGCAATGAGCATTGTTGAAGAGACAGTAGTACCAGCTGTTAGTTTTTGTGATAGTAAATAGGGTAAATCTCGTCGTGATGCTTTAAATGTTTGCTTATCTGTTGATCCCAATCGTTCAATCTCTTCATGAGTTAGACCGATTTTAATTTGACCATCGATAAGTGCTATCGTAGCTGGAATACAACCGTTTTTACGAACAATTTGTTCAATTTCAAATTGTGTTTCAATATTAATTGGTTTCGGAAGACCATGTGTTAATATGGCTGTTTCTAATGCAACAATCGCTTTTTTTTCTTCTAATCCGCGACGAACTTCTTCACTGGCGCAGAAAAGTTTTTTACTATACGGTAATGAAGTATAATATCGCACATTGGGAACTATTAAACGTATCGTAGTAAATATTCTCATGCTTTCTTTCTCTTTTTTCTTTTAGCAGAGATGACTAACTCACAGTCTGACAGGGATGAGAGAAGGTGAATATATTTCATTGTTTAAGAAAAAAGATAAGAACGTACACGGCAGTCTACATGAATATCTCCTACAATGTTCTTAGACTGATAGGCGTACCTCAAATTAAATAAATTTGAACTGTTACTGTTCTAAAATTATTATCCTTCTCATTCACACTGAAGAAGAAACAATTTACGCTAGTCTTTTAATCTTCTAATCGTTTTCTTCAAATGTGTATTAACTGAAGTAAAACTTTTTGACCGATTACTAGCGGCATACCACGCTGTACGATCATGGAGGCTTTGAAACGAAAAAATATTAGGATAAAAATTTTATCCAATAATTAATTTATTTTGAACGTTTCTCTTTCCGACTTTAAACATTATATTTGTGTGTTATTTGAGTTGTAGCTAGTGATGGGCCGAAATACTACAAAACGAAAGAAAAGAAACGAATTGCGTAGTTTCCTGTTCTTTTCCGTACAGTTATACCAACTGTCTTTTCTTTTGTTCGCGACTGAAGTGGAATGTACGGTATTTCCTACAGGAAACGAAAAAAATTACGTACTTCTTTCGTTATAGTCGTCACACAATTTCTCTTTTCTTTCGTTTCTGACACATCTCTTTCGACCCATCCCTCGTTGTATCCAATGAATTATTATGACATCATTGCTGTACATTCACTATCATTTAAAAGGAATAGAGTAACATTACGAGTGAATAATGATAATATCATTGTTATTCTTGTTATTTAATATTCACCACAAAATAGTGAGTACAAACACTCACTATTGTAATCTTTTTACCATTTGAGATAATGTCTTTTAAATAAAGGCGAAACATCTCAGTCGTATCAAAGTGATATTTTTAAAAATCCTCAGAAGTTTTTGTACTGATTCGATTCATGAGAAGTTGTTTCTAGATAAACGTTTAGTGGTAATCTATAACTAACAAAAATGTACTCCACAATGAGTAGGTGCTGTTGAGTACGATGAACTAATGCCAAATCATTTTAATACATACGATAATGAAATACGACTGTTGTTGAGATTCACTGCAAAAAGATCAGTGATGCTTTTTCGAAATCTATTTTATTGATATGCTAATGTAATTTTGTGAGATGTGAGATTCTTTTAAAAGTGACAAGGAATTGATCTCCAGTTAAATATTTATCTTATAGAGGTCGCGGTCGATCAGAGAAAAAAATGAGGGATTGCCTTAAATATAATTTAGGGATAAACGCGACGAACTATAGTGGGTATCGAAAGTTGAGTATTTACCCACAAAAATATTTCTGTTTGCTTTATCCACATCATGAGAACAATGGGATGTATGTAAATCTTTTTCAATCACCCCGTTTTCTGACCATTTTTAAAATAAAGACAAAAATGACTAGAAAACGGAGAAAAAAATAAGATAAATTAAAAGATTTGTAAAAAGATGAAGAAAAAAGTTGTTGACAAACGTTTAAGTAGTCGAAAAGCGCAATTCAAATATACGATTTGCATGAGCGGTTTTTGAGAGCCTTTACACAAAGATCAAAAAGCAACTCAGTATTTGAATTAGACCACTACTATTAGTACACTCGATCAAGTGTTCAGCGGTTTTTCCACGGCCTTATAGTTAGTAGCTGATAGTTCAAAATTTTTTGTTTAATTTTAAGATAAAAAATGGAATTCTGAACTTTTACGTTGCAATTTCGAAATTTTGATACATATGTGAACCTCAGACAAAAGCTTGCAATTACTCATGAATGAAGCCTGAATTTGATCCAATTCAATGTAATGAAAAAGAATTATCCTTGTTGTTTCGTAACACAAAAGAAATTATACTTTACTTCTCGACTTTGAAGAAAGAATTCTGAGGGTAAATCCTCCTGAACTTTTTTTTTGAAATTACCACTGCAAAAGAGAGGAAAATGGTATGCAGTTGTAGAAAAGAAACGTATTGATTCTATGCATTAGTTGATATTAACAAAAAGAAAAATAGATGATTTTATTGCGTTACTCAATGTACTTTTGAGCACTTTTCACAGGTTATATCTCTTTGATCTCTAGGTGTTAATTCCACATGACTGAAAAGATACACAGAGGAGAGATGAATCAATTTCAGGAATTTTTTCACTTGACTACAAATATTAATAAAGGTAAATATTGTAGATGATCTCGATCTTAGAAAGAAGTTTCTTCCATTTCCACTCGATTTTTTTTGTTCCATAAATCTTTACTTTTCTGAACCACTTTCTCTAATCGGAAACTATGCTCTTACTTCCATACTTCAATTGTCTGTTTTATTTTAGATGCTGAAAACTCTAAAAATAATTAATCGGAGTTTGAACAATTCTAAGCTGTCTTCGTTCTTGACACTAAAACGTACTGTCTACCGATCCGTCTATGATCATAGTGATAAAATAGCTGTCATTGATGATAATGGCAGATATTCATATAAAAATTTGATTTCTGCTAGTTTTCAGCTAAGTAATAAACTATTAAAAAGCATTCCATCCGGAAAACTAAAAGGTGAACGAATTGCATTCCTCTGTAATCAAGACGTCTCATATGTCCTTGCTCAATGGTCGTGTTGGTTAAATCATAGTGTATGTGTGCCATTGTGTAAAGATCATCCAGCTAAGGTATTAGAATATTACATCAAAGATTCAAAAGCATCCATATTAATATCAACCAGCAATTTTGAAAATGTTCTAAAGCCATTAGCCGAAAAATTTAAAATACCACTAATAGTACTAAACAAAGATGATTTGAAAATGAAAAACGATAAAATAGAAAAAGATTTAGACATATTTTCAAACAGTAAGGAAGACGCATTAATCTTGTACACATCAGGTACAACAGGTCCGCCAAAAGTAAGCGAATAGTCGACTGCCAATGTTTCTCTCTCTCTCGCTACTGTTATTGTTGTTTTTGTAGGGCGTCGTTCATACCGTGAGTTCGTTAAAAGCACAAATGGATGCAATGATTGAATCCTGGAGATGGGAAACGAAAGATACCTTGTTAAATGTGTTGCCATTACATCATGTTCATGGTATTGTGAATTGTGTAATGACACCCCTCTATAACGGAAGTACATTAGTTATGGACCAAAAATTTGACGCAGCAACAGTAAACTAACATATTTTATTAACTGCATATATCAGCTGCAGTCAAATAGTCGACATGTGTCTCGTTTTCTAGACATGGAATCATCTTTTAAATGACAAAGATCCTTCCATCAGTGTTTTCATGGCTGTTCCAACAATCTATGTAAAATTAATTGAACAATATAAAAAATCTGGCTGGACATCGAAGGATGTTGAACAAATTCGAAAAATGAGGTTTGAGCATAATCTTTCACCTTTCTCTTTGGACACAAATATTAGTTTCGTTGCTAGTTTAGATTATTTGTTTCTGGTTCAGCTGCCCTACCCGAATCAATATTTAAACAGTGGAAAGAACTGACGCATTTTTGAAATTTTAGAACAATTTGGAATGTCAGAAGCTGGACGAGTGCTGTCAAATACAATAGATGGAAAAAAATTGCCTGGTCGAGTGGGTTTACCAATGCCTAATATGACAATTCGTTTGACACAAAAAGATGACAATAATAATGAAAAAATTGTTGCTGAAGGAACTTTGGAGAAAGTAAAAATATTTGAAAAAGGTAGATTTGTTTGTATGTCTTATCATTCGGTTCCATTCTGCTCTTTCATCGATTAGGCGACCACAAAGATGGAAATGTATCTGGTGAATTGCACGTTAAAGGTAAATATCTTGATTACACTCTATCTAGAAACTCAGTAAGTGAAGTTATTATTTTCAATTGAGGTCCAACTTTATTTAAATATTATTTTAACAAGGAAGATGTGACAAAAAAATCGTTTGATAAAGATGGATTTTTCGCAACAGGCAAACAAATATGTTCATATTACAGTAACAAAGTGTAGAGTAGTTTTTATATATTTTAGGCGATATGGTTGAATATGAAATGGCGAATAATACATTTAAAATAATGGGTCGTACTTCGGTCGATATTATCAAGAGCGGTGGGTACAAAATAAGCGCGCTGGACATTGAAGCTGTTCTGTTACATCACCCATCGATTAGTGAATGCGTTGTTCTTGGTGTGCCTGATGCACAGTGGGGCGAAAAAGTAACGGCTATTATTGTTCTAAATCAAAATGCTGAAAAATTAAGTTTGGATCAAATTCGAGAATATTGTAAGAAAAAACTACCGGCTTACAGCTGTCCAACAAACTTAAAAATTGTCGATGCTTTCGAACGAAATGCGGTGGGAAAAATAAATAAAAAAGAATTAAGACAAAAATTATTTCCAACATCAAAATAGTGTTATGGTTATTGTATGACTTTTTTAATTTAGATCACTTTTTCGAATATCTTTTATACGTAGTATTTTTGTAGATTTTAATTCATATACGAAACTAATGATTTCGTTTGACAACATTAAAATAAACACTTGATAGAGGAAAATGCATAGAAACATTGGTTAAATGCTTGGTGTGTAATTTTTTTCGAGAATTATCGATTTGAAGATTCGTCTGTGAAACAGTCTAAGAGTGCACAGGTTCAATTTCCCACAAACCATGTTTCTCTTCAGATGACATTCTCTCTACTGCCAGCTCGAACATCGTTGACGTCTGTCCTCTGATTCACAAAGAAACTCCCACAATGGCAATTCACTCTTACATTCTTCGTGTTTATTATCCATCATCGCATGTATTAAAATGATTTGGCATTAGTTCATCGTACTCAACAGCACCTACTCATTGTGGAGTACATTTTTGTTAGTTATAGATTACCACTAAACGTTTATCTAGAAACAACTTCTCATGAATCGAATCAGTACAAAAACTTCTGAGGATTTTTAAAAATATCACTTTGATACGACTGAGATGTTTCGCCTTTATTTAAAAGACATTATCTCAAATGGTAAAAAGATTACAATAGTGAGTGTTTGTACTCACTATTTTGTGGTGAATATTAAATAACAAGAATAACAATGATATTATCATTATTCACTCGTAATGTTACTCTATTCCTTTTAAATGATAGTGAATGTACAGCAATGATGTCATAATAATTCATTGGATACAACGAGGGATGGGTCGAAAGAGATGTGTCAGAAACGAAAGAAAAGAGAAATTGTGTGACAACTATAACGAAAGAAGTACGCAATTTTTTTTCGTTTCCTGTAGGAAATGCCGTATATTCCACTTCAGTCGCGAACAAAAGAAAAGACAGTTGGTATAGCTGTACGGAAAAGAACAGGAAACTACGCAATTCGTTCCTTTTCTTTCGTTTTGTAGTATTTCGGCCCATCACTAGCTACAACTCAAATAACACACAAATATAATGTTTAATGTCGAAAAGAAAAACGTTCAAATAAATTAATTATTGGATAAAATTTTTATCGTAATCCATGATCGTAACAGTCGTAACCAACGTAAAAATCCAAATGATTTAGAATATTGGATATATGTACAATGCACATCTGTTACATGCAGATGTTTTAGTATTCATGAAAAGTGAAAGTCATTAAAGGACCTGTAATAATAACGACTGAAGCCAATAAAAGAGTAACGACATTTTGAGAAAAGAAAACTAGAGTAATGGATAGAGACAGATTAAGTAAACAAAATGAAAACAAAGTGAAAGAAAAAGAAGAATAAAATAAAAAATTAAAACAAGAAAAGAACCTGACACGGGTATGAATTGACTAGAAATATGGCTGATTTGTTTAGAAAAATTATGGCAGCGTTATGATGACGGTCGTATTGATATTCCAGCTTTCTTAAAAGCTGTTGATATAAGATACTTTCAATATCCATCCAACAATTGAACATTCTCATGTGTTTGTTGTGATGTTTCATATCCTGTGTGTTTTTAGTTCTGTTTTCGCTTATGGTTAGTTAATTGTAGGGCTTTTCTCAAATTATCGGAAAGTAAATTGGCTATAGCAAAAATACATGTATTTTTTTCCTATATGAAAAAACCTAATTAAAATGAAAAATAATGAACGGAAAGTAAATCGTGCACATACTTTTTTTCTGTAATCGTTTTGTTTTGCTATTTCTATTCATATAAAAACATTGTTCAATATGTGGAATGTTGAAAGATTTTGAAATTTAATTAACAGTATTTGAGTACGTATCTGTTCATGCAGTCGAAACAAGTGCAATACTGTTTCTACAGTATATAAAATAACTATTAATAATTTATAGACCAAAAAATGCAGAATTTCGTGCTCTATTACTATTAGACTGTGTAACTTACAAAATAAAATTGCTACTTTTTTACCGGGAAAACTAGGAAATACTAGACGTCGCTAAGATGGGTCCAAAAAGTGAGAGAAAGTGACCTTTTTCAAAGACGCTCGGCTTTTATCTAAAAATCATTATTTCTCATCATGTTGGTCCTTGCTGAATTTTTCGGTATACCTTGTTTTGAAATTATTAGGTTTCTATGTTGATTCAAGGCTTCATTCAATGCACTCACTAAAGAAATGCTATCCAACGTAAAAACAAATTTTTCAATGTTAAAGTACGTTTCTGAATCAAAAACAGGCTCGTTAATCAACAGACAATTGGTTTTTAAGGCTTATCTACTCCCTTACATGCAACTAATTACTTTGGGTTATTTGGTCTATGTTATGTGACACACTAAAAAATATAATTGAGGCAAGAAATCGTCAGTTGTACAGATATGTTCATTTGCGGTTCGATGCCACTAATGATGCGATCAGATGAAGCCAAAATTTTAAAACAATAAATTATAGAGTACATGTTTTCCTACTACGATTTATAGATAAATTTTTCTTTTACCATCCAGAACTTATAGAAAGTTATATACAGCACGAAACGACAAAACTTTATTTATAAATGTATAGTGAACAACCCTTTATTCCATATCTTCCTGAGGGACGACCAACCAGATATGTTAATCAGCTACAGTCATTACAAGAGCCTTACGGTTCAAAACTAGGGCAATTTATTTGTAATGAATACGGTGTTGAAACTTGACTGCAACAACAGTTTATATTTGTGAAAAAATGTGAACTATTGTAAAGCCATGTCAGAGGCTACGAGTCTGACATGATCTCTTCGTTTTTATGCATTTCATAATAATTAAGTATTAGGTCAGGAGCTCCATAATCGATTACTTATAGTTTATAAATTCCAGCCTCAAATAGCGTTCCTATTAAGGGTAGCCCCCCTCTTTTTTTACCTTGTTGTCGAATGCGGAGCATACATCCGTTTGAGCTCAACTTTAATTCGAATGTCGTTAGATGTCATTCAGTATTATCCGAGATAATTCAATAGACTGAACAAGATCTACGTCTATAACCAAAGATTAAGAGCTTCTGGAGACTTTTAAAATATGTTTATTCAAATGATGAAAATAGTTTTAAGTATGTTTATTCAATAAATTAACAAATAGTGGAATAAAAATAAAGTTCTTTTCTTGCTTTTCACCTGTTTATAACGACAAAACATTTCAAATAGTTAAACATTTTTGTCGAAAACACATCGCCGAATAAAAGTATTAAAAGATGCGGAACAACTTTTGTGAAGTGGCATGCATATTCTTCACTCTACTATGCTCAATAGGCGCTCAATCGGTCGTCTTTATAACTCCACAACAAATGGTATCAAGAACTCAGAACTACTGGGTCTGTAAAAGTAGGTGAAAAGACGAGAATGTCTATGTACTGTCAGTCGATCAGCATCAGAAGATCGGTAGAGGAGAAAAAGTCTCTTGAAATATTCTCGTTTTCTGTTTCTAGTCAATGGTAAAGTCAACAGACCTACTTTTCCTACCTACATTCGAATCTATCAGGTTTACATGTCGATTCCAGTGCATAAAATTGAAGTGAGCACATCAAAGAACATTTTGTATATTGATGATGCCATTGTGTTTTTGACGAAAGAGAAAATTTGGGACGATGGTAATGAATATTTCATTACATTAGACGAAGGTGTCCTCTTTTCCACGCTAACACGAAACTCGTCGGCATATACAAATTCGAACTTCTGGCATTTTATTGTCGTGAAACCAATGCAGATCCACCTTTCACCAAGTTACCAGACCAGGTAGACGAGATCGTGAAAAAGAGTGTGTTATTCAAGAAACTTTTATTTTTATACAGCGACAGAACGTTGACTGACCTAATAAGCAATCTAGCAATCGCAGTGAGTTTTACTTTCGGAACATTTTGTATCTCAGAAAATGGAGAATTCACTGGGCAGCAGAACACAGTTTTGAAATTCTGTCAGCGCTCATGGTATGTTGTTTATTATTTCAAAAGCTTTCCGTACATTGCAGAGATAATTGAAAGAACCAATATAATGAATGACTTCCTCTTTTTTCGGAATTCAGCCGTAATGGCGATGAGAGTTTTTTGTTGTTGTTGGACTTTTAGTTAAAGATTTGAAATCTATAAACAGTTGATTAAACTAGTTTTACATCGATTTATAAATAACAAAACTCAAAGCTTTAGCTTTTCACAATCTAATTTATTACGTTAATTTCTATAGATAAACAACCACTCTTTCCAACAATGTTTGGTTTTTTGTTAAACGTGATTCACTCATTAAATTGTTCATTTCGAACAATTACAACAAAAAGCACTCTGAATAGCTGAAAAGAGGAAAATACGTTTGGAGAAAGCTTATCCATCCATGGTCATCAACTATTTCATTCAGCGCAAACAGAAACAATTTCTTTGAAGCATTTGTTATCAAATGAGATTAAAAGCCCAATAATAAAATCATGATGCTCAAGAAATGGTAGCCTTCCTGAAATATTGTGTTTTCTTAATCTTTTGGCGATAGGTAGACCTCAATGAGGTATGAAAAACCTCAAGAGGATTTATCCCCTCGCGCCTTTGTTTTCGAGATATCGAATTTTCAAGATGCATACGAAAAGAGACTGAAACGAAAACACTGCTCTGATCTGTTTCAAAAGAGAATCTCTATTGATGTTTTTTGAATAAATTTCGATAGAAAAGTGCCAGTGACCCAGGGTTTCCATCCTTCGTCCTGCGTTCTATACAATGATCGTAACTTTTAAGCAAAATGGACGGAAAAATCTATAATAAAAGTAGTTGATCTCAAATAGTGCTAAAACAGCTCATCATATCACCGAAACAAAACAAAATAAAGTTGGTTTAGAGTTGCTGAAAAGTGATTTTTCGTATTCAGCACACTCGATAACCCAGAAGATTTTCTATTTTTGGCTCGAGGTACTTCCGAAAGTTTAAGAAAACTTTTGAAACAAAATGGCGCAAAACGTTTTCCATGGAAAAATAATATTAATTTGAAAACTTTTCCTAAACTTTCGGAAGTACCTAGGGCCAAAAACAGAAAATCTTCTGGGTTATCGAGTGTACTGAATACGAAAAACCACTTTTCAGCAACTCTAAACCAACTTTATTTTTTTCCGGTAATATGAAATATATTGTTTTAAAGAGAAAAGTGTTCGCTTCATTTGTGACTTCTAGATTTTACGGTGCTTCTAGTGTAGAGAGACATAAAATTTACCTCTCAAAAAATTTGAAAATATAAAATTACAATACAGAATTTCTGCTATCCTTGAAACTACATTAGAACAGAACTCTAAACTTTTGTTTGATGGAGAAAAAAGATTTCGAACTATATTGCCCGTTCAAAATTTTGCTCTCCCATTATTATATGGTGTATCAAGGACATATCTTAAACTTTTCATACCACAAACTGGACTAAGTTAATTTAAATTAGCAGAAAAAGTCAGAAAAAAAAGTACTCTGAACGTTTCTCTGTCGCTTTATACTGGAATTGATTATTTCATTTGAAAAATCTGTTTTTTTATTATGTGGTTAAAATTATCAAGAAAACAAGATAAAAAAAATCACAAAAAGATAACAATATATTGCGAGTAAACAAAAATGACTATTTTTTCACATGGAAAAACACAATCTAATAATAAATTAACATAAATGCATCATTATAAAAAGAAAAAACTAAGACTATGTATATCTACTTATCACTGTTTCGAATTTGAGAATTTTGATTTTAACGCTAAATTTTCATCTTTAATTTTCTTATATTCTATTAACAATGTTTCTAAATTTGTTGACATATTTTTTTGTGTTTCACCTTCAATCTAAATAAATAGTAACATCGTAGTAATATTAAAGAGAGATAGAAAAGATAGCTATTTACTTGATCTTCTAATTCACGTATTTCACGAATAATTACTCCAATTTCTTCAACAATTTTATAAATAAAATCACAATCATTATGTAACGCTATCAACATTTTGTACGATCGACGAGCACATTCGTCCGCCTTCGCATCCTAAAAAAATAAACTATTGTTATAAAAATCATTCTCAGGTTAATTTGGCAATGGTGACTAAAAAAATTGACTATTAAGTAATATCTGTTCTTTTGATACGAGAAATTCCATTAAATGTCATTAATAATCGAAACACTGATGTAAAAATGTTGGTAAAAAACTGCTCACCTTCATTTCTAGATCATTTCTTATCACTTCAAAATTTTGTTCAGTATATAACTGGAATTCCTTAAGACTTTTACGTGCCGCGGTGGTACTACTTTCGACTGCACCTAACGATTAAACATACGTACTTTAAATAATCGTGTATCTGTTACTTGAAATGTTCGTTCTAATTTTTCTGTTAAACGATTTAAATCTTTTTGTAATACTCGAGTTTCAATAATCGTTTTATTTATTTCTTCTTTTTGTTTTGTTGTATTGGCAACGATTTCTAATATTTGTTTAGTGAAAAATTGTCGATTATTATCTCGTTTATTGTTTAATTTTGTTTTCTGTTGTTCATATTCGCCATTCAAACGTTGTAATACTTCATCTTTATCTTTAATATCATTTATAAGTGAACGACCCTTCTGTTTCATATCGTTAATTAATTGAAGTTTTTCATTTGATTGTGACTACAAAAAATGAATCGTAACATGATTGAATTGAGACAGTCGATAAACAACATATTTACAAGACGATCATTTAATGACTTGTTAAGAGAATCTTTTTGATCTGCTAATGTTTGTCTAATATCATTCCATTGAGAATCCAATATCGTTAATTTAACTTTCAATTTTTCAATCGCATTCTAAAGAAATGAAAACAAGACCTGTATATTAGACATGCTTTCGTTATTGTTTCTCATTAAAGTGTTATCTTTTTACACGCTGTAGTACAAAATCACATTTTGACACATATCAAATCGCTTTTCATTCATGATCAGCTAAAGGTATAAGTTTGTTTACCTGCAATCGTTCTGTTTCTGGATCAATTGATAAGATGTACTCAGTTGCTTGTTTCTTTAACGCAATTTCTTTATTCAAATTTTCAATATCAGCTTTGGTTGTGATTTTAAATTGTTCATACTAAACAAAATGTTCAATAAACGACCATTTTTTCGTAAAGAATGCTTCTGACACTGGATTTTTTTCTTCAAAAGACTTCGCTTTAGCAAAATCCGTATACCTTATTTGTATCTTTAAGTAATTTTTTCAGTTGTAATTCAATTTGACTAATAATGTTATCATTTTCGCTTATTGCCGACTTCAATGAATCAATTTCTTCCGTATGATCGACAAGCTAAAACAAACAAATTGTAACCTAGTGTATACTGAGCTTTGAAGACAAACTTTAGTTTGATTACCTTTGTTGGCAGAACTGGTCCACTAATCTGGTTCGTTTCTTTCTAAATACAACTAGAAAATTCTTCCAAACTTTCGTCAAAAAAGCATTTGCTTACGTTTTCTTCTTGTTTTATTTTATCAGCATGCATAAAACGTGACCTTGATACTAAACCACTATTATCGTTACACAAATTATTATTAATTAACATATTTCGGTTTTCACTCTCCATATCATTTTTTTCCATTGTTTGAATTTTTTCCAGTATAACATCAGATACTTTATTTGTAAGTGATCGACCAGGAATCTAGAGATATTTAAAGATCCATATATAATGTTCCTTTCTCAAGAAGAAATGTTTACCAAATAATTCGATTCTTTTCGTCTTTCAAGCCAACATGCGACTTGATTTTCATAAAATAACGAATCGGCTAAATCTTGAAAATTGACTTGTTCAAACGCATATGATTGAGATGATGATAAAAGTTCATCTAAGATTTAAGAATATACTGTATATGTTGAAATTTGTCGTTCGTAATAAGCGTACCTCCTGGCCTGATTTTCTTATAAGTTGGAACATGTAATGGAACTACATTGTATTGTTTCGACGGTGTGAAACCCTACAAAGTTCAAATAGAAGACACTAATAAAATATCTAGGACTGATCAAACACTCACAAGTCTATGAGCAAATGCTGCTGCTGAATGACTGAAGGTAACATCTGAAAAACCCACTAAATTATAAGGAATCCAGGTCTGATTTGTTAACTGAACTGTTAATTTTGCCGATAATTTTTTTTCTAAGATTTCCCATGGGTCTAGGATGATACATACGACGATTATTGATCAGAAATTTATTCAAATTCTTACCCAATGTCGTAGAAGTACTTGCAACAATCGATATTTCTTTTGGAACACTTTCGATCAAGAAATTCAATAATTTTCTTGCTTCATTTTCATTGACACTCAAAAATGTTTGATAGCCAATATCTCCTCTATATCCGATTGACTAAAATAAAGATCATTCAACGTTGACAACGATGATGATTGTTACCGAAAATTCTGAGAATATACCTGACAAAGTTGTGCTAATTCACCACATATTTTAAATCTTGTCGAAATATTTTGTGGTAAACGCAGAGGAAGATCAGTTTTACTAGTGATTAATGAGACACATTTTGATACACAACAAAATAACGTGTTCACGTCAAACTCGTGTAAATTTTGAACGGTGTCCTCAATGTGACTAAATTGAGGTTAACATAGATGGAATAGTTATTTAATTATTTTATAGAAAATTATACGTACCAGCCAAGAGCCTGCAGACTTTGAATGAGAATACGATCGACCTCTTCCATTAAAGCTGATTAAAAAAATTAATTAAAATTAAAGACTAGAAATTTGCAAAACGAAAAAAAATGTGATGTACCGCGAAGTATAGGGCGTAGTATAGATCAATTAAACGCTGTTATAATAGAAAAGAAAATTAGCAGATTTTATTCCTTAATAAACTTGCATTCTACTGGTATATTACCGAAATCTTGGACGGTGTTTCATAAAAATTCTTAAGTGCTCGACTTAAGTCAAACTTAAGAATTTTTAATTTAATTTTAAAGCACTTAAGAATTTTTATGAAATACCCTCCTTTTAATAAGTCCTTCGCTCTCATCATAATCCGAATGCTGCGGGCTGACCTACAGACGAGCTAAATGACAGAATGTGAAATGAAGATCTAAAACTTCTGCGCTTTTTCTTTGTATTAGTAGAATGAAGCCTGTATACGACTCGGACCAGGGAAAAACGATTCGAGAAGACCTCTAATTGAAACTACTGTTTATGATTACTTTGGAAGAAGCAGTCAACATTTGTCCTGCTATAGAATGCATTTGTAATGTAACAAAAATAACATCCAGAAAAACATCGGTAAGAGTAAAAATGGACTGCCTATTCCAACTTTTATCCAAAGCTAGCCTAATATTCTGTTGGCTAAAAATGATTAGCTCCCTCGGCTAGATATAGCAGACGCCATCATACAGTAATAGGAAGTTGATGTCTTTCTTTTTGTTGGTATTATATCATAGAACAATACTATATTGCAATCAATTCAAAGAGTTCAATTAACTCCGCTGTATCCAGACATGTTAACCGACTTGAACCTGAGCAACGTGCTAAGAGGAAAATCTGACCGCAAACTCCAAGAGATACACAGGTACTTCAAGTGAGCGATGCAGCTAACATCTCTAAGATAATGTTTTAGTTGGTGTTCCATTCCATCTAGTAAGTATGAGGAGGACCATATTTTCTAATTAAATTCTATTTAGATCAATATCTATTTGATTTATGGATTCATAGCAAGCGATTTTTCGGTTTTTTACGATTTTAAATCGGCTTGCAAAATGCTTGAGCATTCTAAAACTGATATGATATAGAAAATTTAAAACAATTTTCTACAGAATGAAAGATGTCTTCCAAGCAAAATCAGGGACGATTTTCTAGGAGTGTCTATATGCAATCACCATTCACGTCGAACTTTTTATGAAATACTACCGGTTATTGGGGTGGGGTACTCTGTATAGTGACAATAACAGAACGGTATATATAGGATACTTCGGTATGATGAATACTACCAATATACGGAGAAAAATTTCTTTCACTATTTTGTTTTGGCGGTGGATTATTGTATCCTCAGCCGGAAATCCCATTTCCGAAATTCCGCCAGATTTTTTTTGTGTTTTTCTATCTTTCGAATTCTAGTTAGTGATAGCATCCCATCTACTAAAAATCTGCAATTAATCGTGAAAAATCATACGATTAATCGCCTGTTTATTCTAGGTATCAGGTTCGAACCCATCTTAGGAAATACATATTTTTTGGTTTTATCATTCTTTATTATGTATAATGACATACGTCCCTCAGCAACGGTCTTACCACCAGCTGAAGTCGGAGCCTTTCCAATGAGTCGATTTTAGACATTGCCCAGATACCAGCTGTTCACTGGGCTCCTCGGCTTAAAGCCAAGGGGGAAAGCACGGAATCCTGAAATCCTGAAATTCTATGGAATCTAGTAGAATCCGGTGGAATCTGGTGTTCTATATTTTGGGAAACTTTTCCCCAAAACAGTGTTGTTCTGTTTTGGGGAAAAGTTCCAGGGAATCCAAGGGAGTCTTATGGATTCCAAGAGAATCCTATGAAATCCTGTGGAATCCTTGGAATCATAGAGAAGCCTTGGAATCCAGGAGAATTCAGGATTCTAGGATTCCGTGCTTTCCCCCTTGCTGAAAGCTCTAAGGAACTATACAGAAGACTCCTGACAGCTCCGTTTTACTCTAGAATAAAAAGATGATCTAAATAGAAGTGTATGTCTCGTTGAAATCGTGTTTCTTATATACATACTTTACCGCAAAATAAAACGGTAAATAACAATAACCATTTAATCGCTTAAAGTCAACAAGTAATCGTAATTAATTGACAATTTTTAAAAAAAAGAAAAATCGTCAGAATCGCCAGTTAATCGCAATTAGTTTGCGATTTTTCAAGAATGGCGATAATCGCGCATTTTTAACGATTAATTGCGTCGCGATTAATCGTTAAAAATGCCGCGATTTCGTCGACATGGGATAGCATTTGGACACTCCAATATTGTGTTCGAGTGAAGGCTGAGACTATTCTCGATCGACCTTTTTGTGCAGCCGAATCATAAATGTGTCAAAAAGCTTTATTTATATTGTACGTCAACAGAACAAAAGTATAATTGGAAGTTGAATGGAAATTCCTGGAATTTTTCTGTTTTCGAAATTCTATGAAATAAGAGTTGACGAAATTCATCATACTGCAAGAAAAATGAGAAGTTTCGTGAGAGTTTTGACAGAATTTTCGGCTAGAGTAATAATGACAAAATTGAAAAACTTTCATGTTTTGTCTGACGAACTCGTCGAAGTGCATATACGTCCACTAGAGTCATATAAAGAGGCACTCTTAATAATGGCTGTCATCCCTGGTTGATAGCCACGCTGGTAGCCTACAGATAACTTAAAAATATGAAGTTTTTTCTGAAATCAAAGACGAATGCATATAGGCACTTTAGTAAGAAACTTACTCGAATCTTGCTAAAATTTTATGAAATCTTATGCCGGCTTTTCTAAGGTTTTGCTGACATTTGTGTAAGATCTTAGAAAAATCTTACTGTGATCATAAGATCCGAAAACTTTAAGATCTTACAGGACAAGATTTAGATCAAATCTTATCAAATACGACAAGGTCGAATAGTATTGATCTGCAATTTACAAACCCTTGATGAAAATCTTTTCCTTTTCAATATCATGATAGCACTAGGATCTATCGACGTAGCAATGCGAAATTATATGCGCCAAAGAAGAATTGAAGATTTGTACTAGTGCATACACTTCAGAATATATCTGTAAACCAATCAACAATGAATTGCTTATTTACCGATTAAATGACAAAATTATACCAAAAATACAAGGTAAAATTCTATTTATAAGACAACTCGAGATTATAAATGATGAAATGCCTTTTTCTCTTGTACTCCGAGCGAGCAATGAATGAGCGTACTGCAATTTTAGCGTTTAAATAAAGTTTGAGACAATATTGCTTCAGCTGTTATCGTTAAAATACATCTATATGCGCAGTTAGACTATTTTGCGTACGAATAGTCAGGTTTGCTACGCGGACATATCGCTTTACTGAAAATTATTCGAGTTACTATTAACAATAGGCATCCTCCACCAGAAAGTTGGTCTAGGCTATTTCACCAAGAAGTGTTGCTATGGAGCTGTCCACTGATTTATAAGGGTTTCTCGAGGTCCTCTTTCTTTTAGTCTCTAGACGTTTTCTTCAAAATCTTTGGAAGTAGGACTACCAGAAAACAGTGGTTTTTGGACTACATTAGTTGAATTAAAAGTGTTTTGAAAATCATCGTTAGGACATGGAGCATTTTAAATAACATATTCGGATTCAGCGTCGAAAGGCGAACATTTTGAAAAAAAAACTAAGGCTTCAACTCAATTTCAATTTTTCAATTTAAAATTTAAAAAATTCCACTTCTTTTAGAATAAATGTAGCTCAGCTCCGCTAAGAGATAGAGGTTCGATTCAAACGTGGTTGGATAGAGAATTAAAAACTGAATAAACTTTGGAGTTTGGCGAGATTTCAATACCACGTGGTAAAATCTCCTTTTAAATTCACTTTAATTTCTCTAGTTTTGAAGTTAAAACTTTTCTGCCGAACTTTTCCGAAGCACTAATGGCCAAAAACAATCAAAATAAGATATTTCAACACTAGCGATGATCGTCAGAAAAGTGGATGATCGTAGTGGGATTCGAAGATAGTTTTCTCGTGCAGGACGCCTATTAAGACTTCAACGCAAGTTTTTCCACCATCAGAATCTTATTAGTATTTCACAAGAAATAAAGAAAAACTTCTACTTTTGTAATATTTTAGTTGTACTTCGATTGATAAATGTATTTTTAAATAAAGGTGAGAAAAAAGCAGATAAAAATTATGCGAACAAAAAAAATGCATCAGACCTTTTTAAGTGGACAATAAATAATAATCCTAAAAGACAAAGCATGAAAAAACATTAAAAGTGCTATCATGTTCATTTGTTTTTATTTTAGAATGGTGTGTTGGGACGCGATTTGAGATAAGCGGCTATTTTTGGATTGTTTCCAACTTCTTCATGACAACGTTTTAATTTTGGATATTTTTCTAAGATATTTTTATCTAATTGTGATAATGTTGCAACTGTCTCAAAAAACATTAAATCTGCCCATGTCAATTGATTACCCAAGAAAAATGGTCCGTTTTGACCATAACTTGTTAATAAAGTTTCTAAATTCGTCAGTTGTTTTGTTGCATCTTCTTTCAAAAACTTTTGCTTAGCCTCTTCTTTTTGACTCTCTTCTTGTACCAAAAATACCTTTGTAAAATATTGTTGCATTAGATCATAGATTGTATCAACAACACTATCAGCTTTGGCTTGTTCTAGATTGTCTTTACCGGCTAAATGAAGTTGTTTGGCAACAAAACGGGCAATGCTTAATGATTGTGGAAGTTTTTGACCATCGACTTCGAGTACAGGCATTTGTCCCAATGGCATTTCATTTTTATGCTTTCCCCATTCCGAATGTTCATAACGCACATCTTCAAATTTTTGACCAGCAGCAGCAAATATTAAACGTATAACTTCACCACGACCCCGACCATTAAAATAGTATAATTTATACGTTGACATGTTGATGATAAACTTTGTATTTAAAAAATACTATAAACGGATGTTACTTTATTCAATAGGCAGAAGCGAGTAACGTGTTTACTTTATAGACGTAAGTCTATATAC